ATGATGGTGGGGCCCTGAAGGGTATGGATAAGTGCGGGTAGCCGGGTAGGGTAAGGTAGGGGCAGCAGACGAGGGGTACTAGGGGACTTTCGCCTCTGGAGTTCGCAGTCTGCAGAGTGGATATTGTGTGAAATTTTGGGGTCCCAACAGCAGTTGGGGCTTTGGCCAAAAAAAAAAAAAGTGGGGGGCCCATGCTACCCGAGAGCACAGGGCTGTTTTTGGAAACTAATCCGCTTCGCTTTTTTCAAAGTATTTCTCTTTTCCAGTTAAATTAAATTAATTAAAAAGAGAGAACGTTACAAAGTGTTCCCCCTACAGTTTTGTTCTGACCTTTGAAGGGTGTTAACGTTTTCTTACCCCAAACTCAAACCATGCGATGGTGCCACGCGGGTTCAATACCTCGTCCTCGCCCGTTCGATTCGTTCTCTCCGGGGGAGTTTTTTGGAAAAATAAAAAAAGGCTCGCTTCGATATGAGCCCCGGTCCGAAGTCCACTCTCAGTTATGGTGAAACTCAAGTCACTGTCCTATTTTCGGATCACATATCCTTGAAGTCTCATATGCTATATATTTATATATATATATATATATATATGGGTGTGTGTGACTGATAAAAATACAAATTAAACTCGCGAGAGAAGGTGAAAAAATGTGATTATCATGAAAAAAAGTCAAGTTATCAATACATGAGCTAATATAAAATACTCCTCTGGTCCTTAATATATGACTTAATTATTAATTTGGTTTTGGTTTTAAATATAAGATCCATTTTTCATATTTATCAGTTTTATCTAAATTATCCATATAAATACATTCTCTCAACCATAATTAAGTAAAAGAGGAAGAGGAGATATTGAGAAAGATGATTACGGTGTTTTAAGAAAAATGTGTCACATTTCTTATAATTAACTAACTTATCTAACTTTCTTAATCTAATCAAATTAGTTAAATAGATGCTGTATTAAGGACCAGAGGAGCATGAAATTTGTTACAAGTTTTCATCAATTAATATGATATGATATGATTTATTACAAGATCAATCGATGTGAAATGTGTGATCACATGAATCTGCTGGGAGCGATAAGAGTAGGTAAAGTATGATGAAAGGTTTAGGTTTAAACTTTAAACCCTCATGTTGAAAAAAATATGAAAAGCAGTAAAGCAGCGTTGGCAAAAGCAGCAAGAAGACGTATTTACTGGTGTATAACAATAAAGTATAAGAAAGAGATGCTGGGAATGGGTGATTGGGGGGCGAATGAAGGAAGAGGGCCCCACGGGAGGCAGTGATGTCTTGGGGGAGCCCACAACAGAGAATGTGAGGCCCAAAACAAATACTTGATCTCTAGTCTTACTCCCAGTGGCCCATGTCTAGCGTCCTTCATATGGTCCAATTCTCTCCACACAAACACTCCCAGGCAATGCTGATCAAGTCCTGACAAATACACCACATCCTCTTATGAGTCGTTTATCGCGTTTGAACTTACAGTTGAAGATATTATTGCACCATGTCAAATGGAAATGAAAACATAACCCACAAACAGGGAGACTTTGTTAGTGGGCAATCTGTAAGTGATTTTTGAACTTAAAAGACAGGATGTAACCCTAATGAACCCTCCAGGACCTAACTCACCTGAATTTCTTCTTACAAAAAAATGGAATGAAAACACGTGCCAGATACAGGTGTGGTTATAACTCAAAATCACGTATTGAAATTTAAGCCAATCACTAGTTTTGTCTCTCATATTTATATATTTTTTTCCAAGGTAGTCCTCCTAATAATAGTTGTTCTAGTCAACACACTTAATTAGTAAGGATATTTTAGGAAACACAATATCTATTTATTACAAATAACTAACCTAACTTCTTTTTTTAATCTTTTTCAAATTAGTCAACTAGCTCTTATAATTATGACCGGAGGTAGTATAAAACTCACCTCAACCGTCTTGTTCAAAGCTCCTCAGAAAACTGGTTAGGAGACGAGTTTACTAGTTTGACCGATTAACTGGCTCAAAGTAGTATGCTTGGAATGGAAATAAGTCAGGTGAGGGGGAATGTTGGGTCTGGCCTGGGCTAGGGCATTGAAATGAAATGGTAGCTGCAGGGCTACGTCTCTCTGGTCCATCCCCGTATTATAGGCACCCTTCTCGCACTACGTGGTTGGCCCTCTCTCTAGTTAGTAGTTATCAATATCCGGTGTCCTTCCACCCCCCAAAAAAAAAAAATAATTGGTGCCCTTATCCTCAACCCCCGCTCGCTTGGATGATCACAGACCGTTAACCTCCTTTTTCCAGTCACCCTCCGATCCATCAAGTTTCCCAAAAGACGAAAACACCTCAAGGTACAATCACGAGCCCAGTTCCAATGATCATGACCGTGTTATTTTTAATATGCTGACTTATTAATTGTGGTCATTAGGTCGTGATGGGGGTTCAATTAATTAATATGCTGGGGCCGGTGATGTCCTAATGGGCTGGCCCAGTGGGCCAGGAGCGGCAAGGACAAAATAATACAGGGACAATTCGCGGATAAATAGCTTATGCACAATAATGAGCCCTTCACAACACATCAACTCAATCACTTGTCCAGTTGGCAACTGCCCTCCTGGTTCATTCTCCATCCATTTATACTAATATCTTCTCTCTTTTAGGCCAGTCCTTTTTGTTAACATAACGTTTGAAATTAAAAAAAGAAGAAGACATTTTTCTTTATTTACTATATCCTTATATTCGACGATTTTAATTATAAAGTAAGAGAGATGATTATGGAGACAGTAGATAAGAAATATGAAGGCGCTGTTAAAGGACTTTTAAAAAAGCTCAGGCATATTAAATATATATTTGAAAATGGATGCTTTTTTTTTCGGTGAAATGAAAATGGATGCTTTAAAACATGAAAGGAGAGATAAAGAGCAATAAAAGGAGTAGTTTTATAGTGAAGTGATGCGTGTCTCAATGGTAAGAAGAAAACTGGAACAATTGACGCGTTTTGCGCTGCACGAATGGCAACAAAAGAACGAGTTGGGAGCTTGATGTTGGGGTTTTATGAGAGTGATGGGGACTGATGCTTGACTTTTTCCAATCTGTAATATGGTTCTCAAAGCATATTCCAAACAGGTTAGGTTTGGAGCATAACACAACAGGGTCATCACTAATGGGTGCTCAGCGTAGCTTGTTAGCTCTTTTTTTTTAGCGCAAAAAAAAAAAAATCCTGGAAGATGAATAATTGTTCAATAAGCCTTGGGTCCACTGGTGTTAGGACCATCATTGTGAAACGTAGCAGGTTGTTTTCTGCGTAATATGCTCAAGAAGAGGTAAGCCACAAGTGCTGTAAAAACAAAAAGAGTAAAACTAAATAAAAAACGTGACGATTTGCTGGGAGAAGATATGTTTTTTTTTTGGGCCCACACTCAGGGACATCCTCTGAACTCAACTCTTCATGGAGCACGCATCATGGGTCCGAGCCTGCCAACAATGTCAAAATTGTCGATTGTATTGCCTTTGGGATTTTCTTTTCTTTCCTCTTTTAAACAAACGTTGGTTTTGGATTTTGGACTGACGATACAAATGCCTCCGTAGTTTTTGACCCTTGTATCTGTATTCTTTTCCAGCTCCCAGGGACATTTTTTATCGTTTAATATCTACTGCTTTTCATATGTTGATTTCTACATTTTAAATCCATCTTCTTTAATTTTCTTAGCATGGTCATTGCCTTTTTAATCACTAAATTAATTTATTTAAATTTAATATAAACCATGTTGAAATGTTTGCTAAAGAGATGAATAGATTTTAAAAAGGTAAATTTTGTAGCCACAGCGTTTTCGGTTTGAATTCGATTTCTCCTGTTTCTGACAGGGCATATATGCTTTACCCCAATTCACATCACGGCGAGGGCTTTGGGAGGCCCACGATCCGTCCGATCAGCCATAGTCTGGGCTTCACTACATGAAACCTGAAAGGTAGAGAAGGATAAGGCTTCCGCCGGTGAAAAAGTTTAACCCAAAAAAAGAAGTTAGGTTTGAAAGTGGTTTTGTTCTGTTTTAAGAAGGGGATTGGTTTTTTTTTTTTTGGGTGAAACACTAGAGTATCCCTATACTCGAATAGTAGGAGACTAATCTCTCGAGACTTGCAGAGACCCAATTACGAGGACTTCCCTCCTAAGCATGCCAGCTCGATTCCCATCCTCCAACAGAATTGAACCTGGGAGTGTTGGTGTTGGTTAAGAGACACAGACCCTTATCCATCTATGCCTACATGCGTTAGGATAAGGAGATTAGTTTAGAAGAAAGGATTGGTGAACTAATATTCAAATTTCTATCAAAAGAGTTACTCGCATTTAATGTCAAACAATGCCTTCAGTAGAAAGATACCAGTGTCAAGGGAAAAAAGTGTTTGTTCTCACTCTTTCAGCAATTGGGGCAAAAGTGGATAGCCACTCTCACATCACTTTCATGCCTTGAAGGAGGTGGCAAAGTGAAAAAGAGTGGCGACCTGCAGCCCCAATATTCAATCGCTTCGTAGCACTTATCAAGTGCGGCCAATTGATTTTCAGTTCCAAAATTTCCCACCACCTCAGTTTTTGGGTGTCAAAGGTTTGCTTGGGACGGAAGATGAGAAATGAGAAGAGATTTGAAATTGAACCTTCTTCTTTTGTTTTGTTTTCTTTCCCCCCCCCCCCCCCCCCCAAAATACCAGGCTACAGAAAAAGCATGCAAAACGACACAATTAAGTCATATCAGATCTCAAAAAATCTCTGCATTCTAAAAGGGTTCATGAGCAAACTAGTCGGCACATTTATTTGCTTCCCTGCATCAAAGGTAACCGTCCAAGGTCATATTAATAAAGTTTCTCAACCCTGATGGGGGGGGGGGGGAGGGGAAATTGAACTTCACCTGTTCAGAGTTTTTTGACCTTGAAGCAAGAATACAAAGACTTCACTTTTTCAAATATTGCTGTACTAGCACCACTTTCAGAATCAAGTATTGAATTGAAGGACTCTTGCGTCATTTATGAATCAAATCCATCGTCAGTAATCAATAAACGAGTTAAAACCAGTAATATAATATAAGTTCTTTTAATAGAGTAACTTAAATGCAATAAAACTTTTACAATCTTCGGCATGAAATTCATTTATTAGTATTACTATGTTTAATATATGGCAGAGAAGGTATTCGCATCTACTCGAGAGTATTACCTCGGACCAATTGGTCTGAGAGGTGAAGCAGGGCACAAGGAAGGACGAGGACAACAATATGAGTCGGCAAGTTTTGCACCAACATAATGCAGTTTCCCTCTTAAGCCGACGCAGAAACAGTAATGAGGTAGGCAAAGCAGATTGCTTGAAATACTCCAACTCTGTCATAAGGTGGCAATAACCAAAAGATGGAATAGCGTCTGTAAATGCTGTCCATGATGCTTCCCCCCCCCCCCTTTTTGTTTCAGAAGTACGGCATCTTTTCATAGTAGAAACAGTGTGATCTCTGGTTGAATAATGATTATTACGTTATGACTTGGTGATCTCTCATATTAAGTTAATCAGTACTCTCTCACTTTGTATATTGATGTGATTTCACAAAAGTGTTTGTTTTTGAGCAAAACCCAAAGTTAGATAGAGAAAGGCTGAAAAAGGTAAAAGGGCATCTATTATCCAATCTGGGGAAGGAAAGTTTGCTTGAGTCATGAGAAGAGAAGGTGTGAAGCAGATGGCAGCAATGATATGAAATGTTTGGATCATGAGACCCTTATCCCTATCAGTAGCCATCCCTCCTGTCTTGTTCCTCAGCTTCCTTGTTAGCAGCTTGAACGGACTTGAACCACAAATATCCCTGTTTTCAATATCAACTTCAATTAGCTGCAGCATTGGACCAATGTCATTCATGGCTTTCTCATTCTCAACTAATGGTCTCCGCATTTAAAATCACCAAATTACATTTCCTTTGAATTCACCCTAGCAGTGTTCATATTAAGTTGAAACTGACTATTATTTATAGGGTTTAATTTTTCTTGGATTCCAAATGAATCAAAGTAATATATAACAGATAGATAATAATGATCAATAGCACTCACCGCGAAGGGAATGCCAGTGAAGGTAAAGAATCCAAGCAGGGGAGCATAAAATACACTGTCGGAGGTCAAAACTCCAAAAACTGGCCTTTGGTTCACGTACTCGAATATGGAACCAATCTGCAATTAGAAATCAAACAAAGAAAGCATATTAACGAACGACAATCATACGACAAACGAAAAACCGAAAATGCGAAGGACAAAATATACGCTACAAAATGCAAAAGCTTACAGCGGCAATGGCGGTAATAGCAGACGCCAGTAAATAGACATAGAAAGGGATGGCTAATCCTTGTTGGGAAGCATTGTTGTTGGCCTCGTCCCCAGCCCAAGGTGGGGGTTCATCTGAATCTGGTTTGGCCCACGAAGGGATTGTCTCTTCTGACTTGCTTGAATCTGCAGAGCCTTGCGTCCCACCCACCACCACAATTCTATTCGACGATTCCTCCTTCCCAAACGCTTGACGGTTCCGAATCGTAGTCCCCAGAAATATCTTTTGTTGTGGAACAACCAACAACGTTGTGTGCTGGGAAAAAAAACATTGCGCTCCACAACTAGGAGCGCTAATTATACTTGAATTTGGAGAAAATAAGGTCGTAGTCATGGCTTCCGTTCAGATCTTCACCACTGGAATATATCTTTACTGGGATGATCGCTCATCATGCTCTGTGTAAGTGAATGGAACTCAAAGTTGGCCGCTTCAGGAAGATGTGGAACCAATCAAACCTTATCCAGATTTTTGGGCTTTAGAGGTATAGTAGGCCCATTTGATGGATGGGCCCATTGGGCCCGTGTTGCTTGGGTTGAAAAGTTCTTTGAAATTGGAATGGGAAAATTTTCCCACGCAAAATTGACCGCCATTTCTACTGCAGATTCAAAACATTTGAATCATATTAGGCTATTCGCATCTGTCCGGTCCATCCCCATCTGGCATTTGGCGTGCTCTTGCTATTGACTGCCCAACCGCTCTTCTTGCTTCTTTGGCTTTTTGGCTCTCAAACTCTCAGGTAATTTCTCTTCCTGGCTAAGGTCCTCTGGTATGTTCGAGATTTCATTTTGGTGCTCACTTTCAAGATTCTCTGTAATGTGGATTTGAACTGCATCATTTCTTCATTTGCTTCTGGCATCAACATTTCTCCTTTGTTCGCACAAAAAAATTTGAACCAGACCCTCAATTCATTGCTTCTCTTTCCTTTATAGCCCTTCTTTGTGTTCGATCTATCATTTTTAGGTGCTGGATTGCTCCCGTTTATGCACAAGTATACCGTGACCTCTCTTTTTAACGGGTTTTCATGTTCTACTCTTGATTTCCCTGAAATGTCTTTGCCGTGTTCTGAGGAAGAAATTGGTGTTTTCTCTTTTCTTCATTTGTTTGTTCTTTTCTATAGATCTGTACGTGTTCCCCTCGTTTCGATTTGTTTAAATATTTTTATTTTATTTTTACGTTCAATATTTAGGAAATGGCGGGAAAAGGAGGCAAGGGCCTTTTGGCTGCAAAAACCACGGCTGCTAACAAGGACAAGGACAAGGACAAGAAAAGGCCTGTTTCCAGGTCATCCCGTGCCGGAATCCAGGTAACCCACCTCTGCTTTCATCTGTATTAAATTATCGTCGTGGCTACCAAGTTATCCACTGTAGCTGGGATTTTTGGATAGTTTAACGATTTGACTTTTGTCTTTAAGCGTATTGTTCTTTCTCGGTGGTCTGCACTTTCTTGCTAGTGTGTTGGTAAGATATTTTATAGAATTCATGGATCATGGATTTGTCCTGCCTCTGCTTTTTTTGTTCGTTATTTTATTGGGCGGTGGCTTGGGTGATGGCCGAATGAGTGCCACTGTGAAGTATATTCGACTGTTTCTTGGTTTGAGTGAAAAAATTGAGGCCATTTAAGATAAGTGTTGACATACACAATGCTAGTTGAACAATAAAACAATACACTTATTTTATTTTTTTAGCATCTATCTGGATTACCTATTTCCAGTATTAAATGCCTCTTGGAAACGATGGGATTGTATTCGATTTTTTCTTGTTTACCATTTGTATTCTGACGTCATACATGTTTGCGGGGTTGGGGTGTAGTTTCCTGTGGGTCGTATTCATAGACAGTTGAAACAAAGGATCCAAGCAAATGGGCGTGTTGGGGCTACAGCTGCAGTTTACTTGGCCTCCATTCTTGAGTACCTGACAGCTGAGGTTCTCGAGCTTGCTGGAAACGCAAGCAAAGATCTGAAAGTGAAGAGGATCACACCTCGGCATCTGCAGCTTGCTATCAGAGGAGATGAGGAACTTGACACCCTTATTAAGGGCACCATTGCTGGTGGGGGTGTCATCCCTCATATTCACAAGTCCCTCATCAACAAGACCTCCAAGGAATGACCATCTTTCTCCTAAATTCTCAGCTCCTATGCCTGTTTTCTTATCAAGTTAGATTGTGCTCATTATGATGACTTTATCACAGTTACTTGTAGCGTAGGCTGTTTAATTTAATCCTTTTGTCTAGAACTGAAATGGTAGTGTGTAAATGGTCATGTGATGATCTGTCCTTTAACTAGAGTTGTAATTTGTAATGCTGTTGGATGGTTTCATAGGCATTTACGTTGGCCATCGTGATTCTGTAATATGAATTCTGCTCATGCTTATGGTTGTGTTTAGAATTTCTTGGTGTTGTTATTAGTCGAGAATGTGGGACAGGCTTCTGATGCGCAGCAGAGCAACCGTCAGTTTGATAAAATTAATTTTCGTCTTAATTTTGGAGGGACATAATCATAATATTGATGTCCTATTCCAATGTGAAACAAATTTAAAGGCTTCACGTTCCTTGTGTATATATCAGTTTTTCGAAATAAAAATTAAACAGATCTAAATTATAATGTGATTCTTATAAAATGGTGATCAAGATAAGTTAACCAGGTAAGTTGGCATACTATAATTCACGGGACAAACGAATCAAATCTATTTTAACTTGTTCATTAAATGGATGAGAATTTTTATTTCAGCCAGCCTACCATGAGAAACTTAATTTTTTAATCTTTATCTTTATTTTTTGCTTGAAGGATTGACCTAGTTTGAGTTAAGATTTATTTATTTATTTTAAAAAAGAGGAATTTTATATGGCCAAATTTTAAAGTCCTAGTTAGTCCTATTTAAGAAAGATACTTAAAGTCCTAGTTAGTCCAAATTTTTCTCTCAATCTTACTCCTCTTTAATTAATTGCAATAAATTGTTAGCTTGAATTTTTGTTTTGGTTAGCTTGAATTTAATTCATTAATCATATTTTATTGTGATTATTAGTTTTAAAGAAGGCAAAATTAAAGAATTACATCTTTTTTTAATAAGTTTAAGGATAACAATAAGTCAATAACCCCAGGTTATTTAGATGCGCCCTAATAGTAATCATCATCATTTTTAAGTGAATATGTTGAATGATAGAGTACTCCTCCGATTCTTAATATAAGACCTATTTAACTAATTTGATTAGATTAAGAAAGTTAAGTAAGTTAATTAATTATATAAAACATGACACGTTTTTTTCTAAAATACCACAATTATTTTTCTTAATACCTCTTCTTCCTCTCCTATTTGATTATGGTTGAGAGAGTATCTGTACGGGTAATTTAGAAAAAATTGATAAATATGAAAAATAGATATTATATTTAGAATCAAAACTAACTTAATAATTGGGTTTTATATTAAAGACCGGAGGAGTATTTAAGTTTATTTTCTTATTATTAAATATCTGACATATTGTTATAATATTATATGTTTTTTTTTATTATGCAAATTTATCTATTTATCATTAGAGATATTGTTGAGTATTAAATATGAGTATTTCTTTCAAACATTAGTTTGTGTACATTATACATTAATTTGTCTTGTTACAGCTGGTCAGTTGGCATAGTATTATGTCTATTTCATTATCGCATCACCAGCTCGACTATGGTTCGATTGAATCATTAAAATTGTAAGCTAGTAACATTTTCTGTTCGACATCTCGTTGGGTTTTCAAACATTTTCGAACTTCATTACACAAACGAGATGTATAATTTACTCAATAATTAAAATAAATGAAACAATAAAGTACACATTTTGGAGCACCATATAAGAACAAGAGAGCATCTAAACATCCGAACAGGCTACCACTACAGAATCTTTACACGACCCCATTGCTATATATTCTTCCATGCACTCCTTTGTTCCAACACACACATACCACCCCGTCATTTCATCCCCTGTTAAACTCTCTCTCTCCCCCCCCTCCCCCACCTCTCTCTCTCACACACGCAGAGCAATTGTTAAACGCAGAAATGGAAGCCAAAATTCTGACAGTGAGCAGAAATCCAGCAGTGACTGCAGCATACCGGAAGTTGAAACATAAACCAAGATATCCCTGTGTGGTTGGAGTGGTGACAAGGCCTGCGGATGGCATTAAAGAAGAACAAGACAAACCAATGTCTACAAAGACAACTGGTTTGATCGCTTGGCTCTACATCATCTTTCTAAGAACGTTCAAAAGGCATCAGGTTCACCGTCTTCCATCCTTTTGTATGCGACACATAAGTTTCATGAGTTTGGTTTTTTCCTCCTCATTCATCACTTACCTTAATCCTACGCAGGACTCTACAACAGCAAGAGTGGATGACAGCTGGTTGAGGCAGCTACTGTGGTTTCTCAGAAATTCAATCCTTCCCAGCAACGTGAAATTGTCATTCCAGCTCTCGACAGAAGCTTCCCAAGGCCCATACTTTCCTTTGTGAGTTCATCACCATTCTGGTCATCTTCCTGCTATGTCGATTCTCACAGATATTAGCATTGGACTAAAATGAAATATAGTGCGGCATGTTTCTTTTTTATTTTATTCTTTCTGGGGAAAAAAGACTCTGATTGTCTTTAATGAATATGTTGTTATAAACGATTGCAGATAAGGACAGTGCTGCGCGATCTAGATTGGCAAGGGAATATTTTGCCGCCTTCACTACTTTGTTTTTTGCTTGGTTAGTCGGGCACTGCGAGGTAAAACATCTGATACGATAGCGTCGATGTTAGTTGGAATTACCTGATGTCATAATGGAGTTGAATCTGAATCATAATTATTAGAACCCCCTCAAGGGAACCCATAGGCAGAGCAACATGGTACACTCCGCCTTCCACTTTGATAAGACTGGAATTTTTTTGGCGATAAGTCTGTTCCAAACATATTGAAGTAAATCATTTTGGAAGCTGATTAAGACACTGGAATTGCCGTTCTAACTAAGCAATCCGAAGAGCAGAAGTGTGTGGTGTGTGAATGCCTGATACTAAGAAACCTTGAAAGCAGCCCTCTTACTGTAGAAGCTGGGCTACAATTTCTGATGCAACAAAAAATTTACAATAGATTCTTGCATTCCAGCAGAGTAGTAATAAAAAGCTGGACGATAGGGAAGGAAGTCAACTCAGAATAGCTGAAAAGAACTAGGCAATTATCTCCATTCACTGTTGGGAGTCCACTAATTAGTCTCCACAAACGTGTAATTTCATTCATACATCTTTGCCCCACTTGAGTTTTATTAACACATATGAACGTCAATAGATCATTCAAATGGATATGAAGAATATATATGTGTAGTATGTCATCAACCTTCATAATAACCAACAGAACGTAAGAGACAAACGTGGTTGAGCATAAGGATTGCAGACTAACTAAGGAAGCGGAAGTAGTGAAATCAACTCCATATCATGCAAACACCACAAACCATATAACCAATTGACTTTTGGCCAAATATAATTATAACTTAATTGACTTGTGTATGCAACTATTTATTTAATATCCCCTATGATATTGTTAAAGAATTACCTCATTATTATTTTCACTATGAACAAGGTGAGGGAATCGGAGGTCAACGGGATAAGAGAGAAAAATGTTGTCCACATAAAAAGTGCAGGTAACTTGACCTTTTCTCTTATATTTTAACTTCAAGTATATAACCATGATGGGTCCCCAATTCACCAACCTAGATACGTTCTGCCTCAAACAATTTGCTTCAAATGATGCAGCTCCAATATTGCGTTCTTATTCCCATCATGACTATCATGATCACCATCAACATTATTGTCAAACTAAAATGATGATTATTATTCCCATCGCCCTCATCATTTCACCTAAGCAACCTAACAATCTTCTCTCTTTTCAATTTGTTTTAATAACAATATGTACAGGTTTTTGGAACAGACAAATGTGTTGGGATGTGCGTGAATCTCTGCAAAATGCCCATCTCAGTCATTTATAAAGGACTCCTTGGGTATGCCAGTCAACATGGGTTCCAAGTGAGTATTAGCATTCAGCAACTCCTTGCATTCGCATGAGCACATTCTATTATTTCACATGGTCTTGCTTGGAAAGTCTCTGGTTAACTACTTCTCTGTCATGAACTTCTTTTAGCAGAATGGAGAAAAGTAAACAGCTTGATCCATTATGTTTTGTTTTCTTCTCGTATTAGCAAAATGTCAATACGTTATAACCATTAAAAAAAGTCCCTATGTTACAGTTACCCAAACTAAAACTAAGGAGGAAAGGTTGATCCTCTACAAAATTTATTCTAAGGTTTCCTTTATGGTAACTCCCCCTAAAATATAAATAAAGAAACATCTTTCATACTTAGGAGTACCATAGCATCCGCTAGATTGTGGGAGCCACCCTCATCATTTCGATGGAGGGTTCCACTCATATGCCACGAGGGATACAGAGTTGGGATGAGTCAGTTGAGGAAACCTACATACATTGCATCATTTGATCAAGAAATTGACGACTCTAGTATAGCCGTAAACATCTTCAATGTGATA